ACCTTCTGAGTTCGGATTTTCTTTTTCTTTTACGGTTTTTTTTTTTAGCCTTTTTTGGTACAGGTAAATGACTATCAAAACTCTTGTTGTTAGCTCTTTAAACAAACTTTTTTTAAAAAGAAACTATATGTACACAGTGAACCTACCGTGTGAATGGGTGGCTTTACTCGCGATCTGAAGCAGAAACCTGGAATCGACTTCAGTGGGTTAGAATGTATCTCTCATTCGGGACCCTTGAAAAACTGATGAAAAGTTGTTATCCAAACAGGCAGCCTGCTGAGATCCCGACTGAGCATTGCACAGTATGGCACACTTGGCCAGAAACATTATCGGAAGACTTGTTTTCTTCCCGTATTCTTTTGCAGAGCGAGTCCATTACAGACAAAACTAATAATCATCGGTGCTGCTAACGGTACCATTGGCGTTGTTTGAATCTGTTGTCGAAATCGCCCGTGAATTACGTCATCGAAAGTGCTGCTCTTCAAACGCTCACTTCCGGAGAGACGGGACCAAAATGGACAAGCCTCGTTATCGTCAGGGGTAGACAACTACAACTCTCCATCGGCCCTAATTGTAGAGGTCCTGCAGTTGGTGCTATCAGACTATCACCAGTGTGTACCCAAGTTTCGGGAGAAACTTAAACAGGCGGCAGTCCTGTTTGTTGTTTTTCGTCGCTGTCCTCTGATCCTAGACACTCAGCTATGGCCGCTCTGTCGTCCAGCGTTAAGGTGTCGGGGAAAGAGTTGCGGGCCTGATACGGACAGGGGGATTCGTTGGTCGTAAGGCACTGTGCAAAGACTGAGATCTTCCAAATTGACTTCTTACCAAAGACCCAAGTAAATGTAGATGTGACCTGTCTGTCCTAAAGTCCCAGTACTCTAAATTTTCTTCTCACTTCTCATGCAGAAAATGCTCAAATAAAGGGGTTAATGGTTGAACTGGATCAAGTTGAATACTGAGTGCTGTTCGTATCAACAGGATCCCTAGCCCAGACCAAGGTTCTGAGTCTGAGCTAAGCCTATTTGTGATGTCACAGTCACACACAGATTTTATTTTGTTTGATTTTAAATTTTGCTTTAAGTTTTAATTAAAAAGAAGATCTGTGGATTGGCATTTCCAAACTATTGCAGGGGGCTCTCGTGGCATAGAGGTTAAGGTGTTGGCCTCTCACTCAAAAGGTCCTGGGTTCGAATCCGGGTAGCGACCGAAAAATTTTATTCTCTAAATTTGTCTCCTTTCACCTCATTTCCTGCTCTCTAGCAATGTTCTGTCGTCTGCTTTCGTCTCCTCCTTCTGCCCCCATCCCCACACCTCCTTTGCCCTTTCCTTTGGGCTCCCGATTCTTTCTGCAGCCTTTCTACTGCTACGTCCTTCGCTTCTTCTTACTGCTGTCTTTCAGCCACACCCCTGATCTTCTGGTAGGAAAGATCTACACCTAGCCTTCTCGGACAAGGGCGAAAAAATCTCGGAGGA